CACCGTGCTCCGTAATAATGTCACGTGGTTTCGGAGTTATCTTTTTCAAATTTCATTGGTAAATTTAAGTTTGGGTAATTTCTTAGGCAATCTTACTTTCTACATTGATAGTTTGATGACCTTATTTTTAATCTATTAATTGTGTAAGTCGTAAGACAAAATCTTTTTTAGGAACATCAATAGATAGTATTAATTAGCCCATATTTTAAACCATATATATAACTTATAATTACATTATACCTTTTATTTTGACGTATGGAAAACCCCTCGGGCCGTCACCCCCAATGAGAGATTTACGAAAGTTAGTTGAAAACTTTAATAAATCTACAGAAACGAAGTTCGGGATAAACAAGAGCGAAAGCATAATACTAGATACTACCCTTACATTGGTATCCAAATAAAATTTGACATCGATAAATGGCTATGACAAACATTACTATAATAATAATACCTTGAGACAACTCCTATATATATATACTCCTATATATATATATATATATATATACGACCCGAGGCTTTGCAGACAGGATCACTAGCCACCGAACAACATTTTTAAATGTCATTGACAAAAAAGGCTCAAAGGTTTACGCGTTTTAATATCAGATGTAACTCGGCTTTTCAATAAAATAATAGTAGTCAAACCTACTCTACTAAAAAGACGAATCTCATTCATTCGTTTTACTCGCTGTCATTACATCGACCCTTAGTGACCTTGGATAAGGAATAGTCACACACCATCGAAAAATCAATTTCATGTAACGAAAACTACAAAACTGCCTTTGACCTGACTATATCATCTAGTTCTACTAGTTACTTTATTTTAAGTTCGATGACATCTGTCCATTTTATTAATAAATATATTAAACGACACAGGTGTTTTTTTCTACTTTATAATTCACATAAATTATTCATTCTGTTCTATAGGCCTCTGTATTTTAGAAACCATACAACACAAAAGCATGGAAATGTTTTCGTGATGTTACCTGCCTATTATTATCATTGCTTGAGAAAACAACGCAGTTTTAAGATTCATTGCTATATTTATTGTGAAGGATTTTTTATGAAAAATATTTCAAATACATTTTTAAATATATGTTATTGTATGCTGAAAATATGTGAAAAGATGTGAAGGGCTAATCGTGCATACAAGCGATGACTAACTTCATTTTTAAGCTATATTCTTGAAAGTTTAACTTATTTCAAAAGAAAGAAATTGTAAAATTATGCCAAGAAGTATTTATATTATAACCACATATAAAGTATAAAACTTAATACTAATACATAATAATTATTAGACAATACGCGAAAAAGTAAACACATTTTGATTAAGTCCTAATTAATTGTGAAAACATACGTAAAAACGAAAGAGGAAAAATAAAAACGGTAAAGTTTCAAATATAAGGAATGGTTTTCAAATACAAATGAACCGTATCATTAAGTCATCTCCGCTGGATCAATATTCAAATACGGAATTCGTAATTACGTAATAATTTGAATATTGATACAGTGAAGGATAAAGGAAAGTATTTATATTTAAGTATAACTTTATTAATACGATATTACCAAATAATAAAACTAAACTAATATTTTACACTTATTGATATTAAAAACAACACTTGATTTACTAAATGAAACGAGGATTATAAAAAAGCACCTTACCTAACTTGCTATGTCCTTTACAATTTATCTTTATTAACCCTTGTCAGATTAATCTTATTGTCACGAACTTTTCTTTCTAAATATATTTGGTTTATTTGCAGCCAGTATTTTAAACTACATATATATATTTTTATAACAGACTGCTAGTAGCTATTCCGGTTTTCGTAAATGAATGTTAAATAGTTATAGTGATGGAAAAACCTATAAAGCACATAATTAATTATGTACAGTAAAATTTAGCAGATAACTTACCGGTCAGTAACCTTTTGGATATTCTGTTTAATGAACATTAAGAAAGGTTAAAATTAAAATACATCTTAAACAGTAGTTTCGTTAATCCTTGGGTAACACCAGTGTAAAAGTAAGGTAATACTATTTTATTAATACAGTTTTTTTCTACACATAAAGGTTTAAAATAATATTTAATGAACCAGGGTAAACCTGTATTTCAGGCGATCGCTTGACGAAGTGTTTTGATCAGATCATTACTAAATGGTAAAATGAAGCACAATAGATAAATAGAGAACATTAAAATTCTTTATAGTGTACACGTACGAAACCAAATCACAATCAATCATATTTAAAAACAGTTATTTCAGTCTCATGTTACAATTTCTAACATGTCTTCTGTGCCTGCATAATTAAATTTACCTAAATATTCTGATAAATGATCATACATATGTTATTATAGCTATATATATTTAGGTACTATCTCATTAATTTATTATACAGGAAAGGTCCTAAGAAAGAATAAAATCTTACAAATGCTGCAGATAATTTGAGTTATTAGTATTTATAAATTGTTCGTAGACGATACATATTTTTTACAATCTTCGATTAAAGAACATCTAACTTCAGACACAGAAAAATTACCTAAGTCATAGAGTAACTGTTTAGTCATTAAGTATTAAAATAAAATATAAAAAGGTTTAAGTGCTTACGTTATCAAATAATCACGGGCACTTTTAGGCGCCCTCATAGTCTACAGAATTTATATATTTGTTCTCAGCACATTTCCGTGCTGGGCAAGTTGCATCACCAGTTTGGTGATCACTTTTTCGTTTGAACCATTTGCAAGTCGCACAAGTGGGTGGTGTAGATTTGTTTTTGCATACCTTAGAAGAGTGCCCGGACTCTCCACAATTGGTGCCAGGTTTATGGAGAAACTGAGGAAACACTTGGAACATGTTTAAACTTTAGTACTTTTAGCAACATTTCATACATTATTTGCAAATCATGTCGTGAATCAAACTAATGTAGTGGTGATGAACTTTGTTAAACTGTCGTATTTATTTACTTTTTTCCAGAATAACAAAAAGTTACACAATACACAATACAAAGTTGCATAACATTTACATTAAGGCAAACGTGCACTTACACTGTTATTCACAGAATACATAGTACCTGGATGACCGTTTTTTTTTTGGTAAATTTTCTAAAAATGGAATCTAACTGGATCGCTTAATTGCCCCCGAACGCCCCTGCATACTAAATTTTATGAAAATCGTTGGAGCCGTTTCCGAGATTCAGATGAAGTAAATAATATAAATACATATTTACAAGAATTGCTCGTTTAAAGGTGTCAGACTAGTGAATTATACATATGCTTTTACTTTCATTAAAGATTACAACTTTCACACAAATATTGATTAGTTATACAGTTCAAATTACTAAAGTAAGTACAAATTTTATTCAACGGAGCTGTCAATAGCAAGGATTAAGTTTTTCAAAATTTATAAACAGACAATGCAAACAAAACTAAATCTGTAAAGAAATTATTGTAGTTATGACACATGACGAATAGTGCGACAAGAGGTTACGGCAAAGGACGTGCACACACAACTTACTGGTGCAATCAGGGCAGTTATATCTATTATTAGTTATTACAGACATCAAACAGAAACATTGCTTGCAGAAATAGACGTCTGGACTTGAGGCCTCATTAGATTATTAGTATTAAGTAGTTCTTCATATGTGAGAAATCTATGAAAACATCTGTCACGCATCGATCTAAGGAATTTGCGTTGTACTGATTCCAAAATATCTACGCATTTTTCATGATACGGATCCCATATTGTTACGGCGTAGTCCAGTTGGGATTTATAAAGGTGACAAAAAGTATCACCCGATTTAAATTCAGTTGTGGACCTCATTGCAAATCCGTATAAATGATATGCATTCTTTGTTATCTACATCTATGTATTGATCAAGATGTATTAAGTAATATAATATCAAGGTAATTACGACTTGTAGCGAGAGTCATTAATGTTAAAAAGCATAGGATTGTTAAATAAATACAACTGGTAAATAAAAACACATTATGATAATGACGGAACCATTTAATCATATCAAACTTAAAAAATACAGATGCTCTGCATTTATTGTTATAAATATTATAACAAACATTGCCAAGCACACATAACAGAGTATATTTGACAGTTCTCTATTTGAATCATACTATGCGGTGACAAAACGAACAGCTGTCAAATTCAATTTACTTTTTTTTCAGTTTAATGTATATTTGGTCCACTGACATACAACGTATTACTATCTACTATGGCATTCAGTTCAACAACAACAACGGCAGTTTCACTTTTATTTAGGTCTTAGGGTTATACAATAGGGAATTTACATTTGCACGTAACCTAAGTGTACGTGATGAACATCTCATAGCAGTCTTGAACATGGTTTCCAAGGCACTATCTACCGTTTGGTTACGAATCTGTTTCTTATCACCTGTTTGTCAATATTTACTATATACTCTTTGTCCGTTTCACTATGAATTCTCCAAGGGCTAATCTCAGATTGAATTAAGTTTTTATCAAGTACTTTCAGTTTAATTTTAGTTTCAAGACTACTTCAAACATAAATCTTTTTTATGTTTGTTGTTTCCTTTAAACAATTCTAGATTAAATTGACTTGTGATTGGCATCTTAGTGTTGGTCGATGATTAACCTATCAACTGCTTGTTCTTGTTCCATACAGTACTGATAAAATGAATAAAGTTTTATACATTTTCCAGATATCATGAATTAATTTTATCAAATATATTATTCGTTTTTTTAATATTATTCGGTAAAGATCGGAAGGACTTTATACACATTAAAATTTAACAAAAGCTAAGTTTTTGTGAATTGTATAAATCTAAGAATCGGTTTGCTAGATAGGCATTTGATCACGAAACATCAATAAATCTACTAAAGCTATATATTTACAGTCATAATACTCATCATACAAATTTTCCAAATATCAGTTATACCTAATACACTAATTCTAATCCTTCTTGGTTTCTCTTAGAATGTAGGCACATGATATGTTTAAGAAAATCCAAGCGCAGATAATCACCAACTGTAATGTGAAAAATATATTTATATACTTATCGATGACATCATTATATACCGACATAAATACCATTTCATCTTATTATATAAGTTGACCTCTTTATTACTTTTCCATGTAAATATTGGGCGTATACGCCATCTAAATCTGAGCGTGTGTAATACCCATCCCATTAGCCTCTTGAGCTGTTTTTAAACAATATTATAATGTTTTTTTCTCTTAATTTATAGTACGTTATACGTACATAGGATATACTTTAGACATTTGTAATATTATAAAATTATTGAATAATAATGTACAACAAACGCTACTTAGAACGACAGATTTGCTAATTCTGATCTTGCCACTGTTAATTGTTTGTGATGAAGTAAGAGTTTAGACATTAGGGCTTTTGGGATAGATAGATACACATTCTTTGAATCTAAACAGTAAACAAAATTGTAAATTAATTATGAGCAAGGTTCTAATCTATAAAATTAAAATAATATAATGTGTTTGAATGACATTAATACAATTGAAAATTTATAAGCAACAGGTGTTTAAGTAGAAATTGTAGCATGAATACATAAATGCACTGAAATAAATATTTAATAACATAAAAGATAATGTATGAAATAGAGAATAATTTAGAAGAGAGGAAGCATAGATAAGCTTGCCATATAATTTATGTAATTACATATAATAATATTTGCAAATAAATGTCAAAGTTTTAAAGTAAAGCTGCGCAGTGGTGCCAAATGCTGAATGTGCTTGGTACAATACACAACAGAAGACAGCTTTGTATTCAAACACTACGGTGATCACGAAAATTTTACGCCTTATCCCTAAAACCGTGCAACTAAATAGAATCAATTATAGAATAAATAAATATTCACTATTCACTATTAATCCGCATTCCATCAACACGTTATGGTTTTTAGCGATCATATCACTCCGTAACAGCTAGACCTCCTCATTAGTATGCATAGTTCAAACAGTACATGATGATACAAGTGACAATACCGGTTTAGTATTTACCAAATAATAAAAGTATTTTAATTGGGAGGACTTGTCCACAATTTCTTGCGTTACTAAAATATTTCACATAGCTTTGTAGCCTTAAAGCCAGAATTCGCTAGACATTAATTTTTGTATTTTTGTGCACCATTGATTTTTTATTGATTAATTTTTGTTTTACTCGCAATTTGAACTCTTATGGCGTTCAAATGGATGATAATGAAATGAAAATCATAAAATTACCCAAATACGCCATTAAATTCAAATCCTAGAAACCGGTTTAAAAAAATGGATATAACTTTATGTATTAATTAAAACGATAATAAATTTTTTGTTCATATTCTACATAGACGAACTTAATGCCTAAAACATTTTCTGTAGTTCACCTTAAGGGTGATGCAGAAATACAAATAAAAATAACTTTGCTTAGTTGCTTAATTTTGAACTATAACGTCGAAATTGGTAGAAATTATTTTTGCAGTCTTATTATTGATATTATATTTTTTTGCAGCATACAACATTATTCAAAATAAGGTAGGACAGAAATAGCTGTAGTTGTGCAGTATTATCTTACTATTCAAACTCTAAATACTGTAAATAAAAAAATCATGCAAAACACCATAGACAATCAGACCATAATCCCAAAAATAAATTAACTGACAACCAAAATTTTTTTAAATGAACATTCTTAGTATTTATGTAAAATATTCACATAGATCATCTACATGGCGGCAACCGTTTCTAAATGTGTATGTACATGCGCCGTCGTATTTGCATGTGCATAATAAATATATATCGAAATTATAATATTACTAAAAAAATAAAGGATGTAAACGCTACGTACTTAATTGATTGAGTGGGAAGGGTAAATTAACATTGATAATAAAACGTGCTTTATCTAATTCTTGCCGTGCTAGTTCTTTAAGTTCCTGTAACTTACCGATGGACTTCTATGTCGACTGATGGATGTAAGCTGTGAAATAGTTAACGTCATAAATATGTACGTTTCAATACTAACTCAAACTCCTAACTTAAGATATCACGGTATTTGGAAAATTTGCAAAATATGTGCTAAACTTTAAACAATTTGAATTTCAATCAATTTAAATGTCAATATCAATTTTATCTTTAATTATTTAAATTTAGGCACAAATAGCAAGATGAATGATAACAGATTTAATAAAAAAAAGACGTTAGAAATGCACAGAATGCCAAAAACTCTCCTTCTTTAATAATTAAAACGCCTAATTGGAAGCGAGTCTTAACAGAATTAGTTCTATATTATTATTCATTTCTTGTGAAGATCATCAAATGATATAACTAAAACTCTCTTTGATAGATATCTGTGTCTTAAAACAGTTATGTTGACAATGACATTGTACTAAATTATTTATTTCATTTTTAGACACCCATATCACTATAAGCCGATAGGTAGGTACCCTGTATTTTAGGATGATTGATCTGGTATGTTTAATTTCTTACCATAAGACACTTACTTTGTAAAACATTCATTAGAAAAGTTTCAAAGTGTGTAAACAACGCCATTCAGCAGCAAAATAAATTTTTCGCTTTTTTTTTTAAATATACACAAATACTTTCTATTCTAATGAGATGTTTAAAATAAGTATTTTCATATTGAGGAGCTGCTTTCTGAAGATGTTTGCGTTAGTTGTATGTAGCACGTAAATATTTTGAATATTAAAACGAATTGATTTATGAGAGGTTTATCGTGTAACATAGTCGATATTAGAGTAAAAAGGTCAGACATTAATTTTACCTAGGTTGTATATTGTTTGAATAGCGGTCAACTACTACTTTCATTTTAGCATTACATTTGATAAGGAGGCAAAAATAACTATCTGACATTTTGGTAGTCACACTGAGAGAAACTATTATTTCTTTAAAAAAATGAATTCTAGAAGGATATGAGTTATTAATAGTTTGAATAACGTTGAGCAAAACATAATCATAAATAGTTTCAGCTATCATCCACGTATCATTTTTAAATGGACTAACTTAAATTTAGAAACTATACTGTGAACTTACAAACTCAAACTTTAGTTGAATCATTCTAGTAAAGAATCAAAAAATCAATCACCGCGATACAAGTCACGAGCTTAGTGCGGGAACCGCTGTTAATTCCAAATATTTGTAAATTATTTTATTGTAAATGTATTAATAAATAAATAAATATCGTACTTAACTACTACGCTCCCATATATTTTTAATTCGTGTTTAATAATTTTTCCGAACACTTTTGAAACTCACAGAAATATGATTCTGGAAATGCATAAGCAACTGGAAATATTAATCAAAAATACTATTTTAATAAACTTGGTGATATCAGTATGTAGCATCACTCATTTTTAGAACTAATTAATTTGGAGTATTTTTTTCTAACTCTGTAATTAAATAATCCTTCGTGCCTTTATGTTTTGCTCAACGAATGATAGGAAAGTTAGTACAAGCCAGTTACCCATGATGATAATACGTGTGATGAGCTTGAGGAACTGACTTGGGCTTTGACTTCGCCTTGTAAGCCAGCGCGCCAACTACTCCAGCTGCTGCTCCAACCTTCGCCACTTTTAAGCCCAGGGCACCTGGTGGAAAAGCAGACTCTATACTAAACTATGAAACAATTAATAGCATTAAGCACATTTTAAGGTTCATACCCTCATGGTTATAAAAACCACCAAAACGATTATTTTATAATGTAACTAAACATTATTGTATATACATAAAAACCCTCCTTCTCTGGCTCTGAAACGGTTGGATAAAAATACTTCGTGTTTCTTAATAATATAATATAATAAACAAAAAAACTGCTTAGTAAATATTTACTTTAATTATTCACTTATTCATATTGTATGACAGATGTTACATTTAATTTAATGCACTTTAACGTATGTACTTACATATAATTTTTATAAATAAAGAACTATGTACGAGCAAACACCGCTTACTATTATAAATTTGATTATGTGAGATATATCAATAACTCTTAGAACTGTTATAATATGATCATTTTAAAGTAAGATATGATCATAAACAGTTATGTATTAAATCAAAACTTAGGCTAATAAATATTGACTTTATCAATAGAAATCATTTACAAAGCATTTGCGAAATATATGAGGAAATAAAGTACGGTACTCGGAGTCGGTAATAGGTATTAAATATTGTTGAGATACAAAATGTTCCCGTATAAACCCCTTCTGGAAACCTCTGATATACCTAAATATTCGGTCAAGGATATCGGCTCAATTAGCAAGGGTTATCAAGGGTATTTCGAATATTTCTTATGTAATCGAACTCACTTATTTATATTAAGAACTTGGTAAATAAATAGGCTGGCGATTCAAGTAAAGAACGGTGATAATTCATTGCTACAATGTAAATAAAATTAAATGTTATAAACAATTAGTACCGCAAAATTAGCAATGGACAATTAAAGTTGATAGTAATTTTAACAATCGATTTCATTCGCCTTGGAAGCTAATTGCAAGTACAAGTTCTCATCGGTCCCATACAAATATTTTTTGTCAGAGAACATAAAGCCTGCTATCACTTGCAACACACATTTACCTTAATGTGATTTAATAGTTAAGTAAGGTTTTGTTCATTTTACGTTAATACTTTTGTAACAACCATCAGTTTCAAAAGTAGTATGCGTAGTACTATTGCTGTTGCCTCTTATTACTTTTAATTTCTTACTTGATCTTTTATACCAGAAAGTAGAAACTATTGAATGTATAACGCAACTAATATTATTGCATTCATTACGCTAGTAAATTTTTATGATGTGTAGATTGATACAGTTCCTAGCATTGTGGAGTACTTTTTTTGTACTCTATACCATTCTCTATTCTATTCTATAGACTTCTCTGCCTGGGAAAATTTTAAAGAGAGTGTGCAATTTTGAATATTTATAGTTTATATAGGAGAAATACAGAAAACCAATAATTATAATCTCACACATTGCACCCACTGTCTTCTGATCCCAAATTATTTGTCCTGGGTGAAAATCGAACCCACGTCCTTTGGCTTAGCACTCAGGATCACTAGCCAGTACACGTACAGGCCAGTCAATCCAATCCAATTTAATAAATTTTGTTTAATCTTGTAAGTCTTTTCGTGTTTTCTTTATTTAATTTATTTATTTTATGTTTAAATCGTCAAATACATATTCTTAGAACTTGCACGTAATATGTCAACTAATAACACTAGAACAAAAGGCCCGGCTTTTTTTTAAATGTATCCTGCAACGCTTTGCTATGGCACATTGTGGTTGCATTGAAAAATATTTGCAGCATTTTGTTAATATCATGACAAAATTTAAGCTCAATCGGTGCAGAACTTTTTGAGTTTTCAACATTGCTACCAACTTAACATTTATACACACTACCAACCTAGAAGCAGCTAATATAAAAACGACTGCATCAAGCTTCATGTTGACTTCAAATTACGAGTATATGTAACAATGAGTGCTTAACTTATACTGGAGATAAATATATAAATTTTTTATGAATTACAGTCGAATGTCTATGTGAATTGTAGTCGAATTTCAGCCACTATGCCATTTGTAATATAAATAAAAATGTAAATTGAGAATGCATGGTACGTACTCATTAGACAATACCATTATTCTCACTGCTAAGCCTTATTAATTTCTTTTTATTTAACGTCTAACATTTAGTTCGTCAATAGACTAAAATTTAGTTTTTATTTTGTTGTACAATTTAAAGTAATCACAAACTTGTAAATAGTTACGAACCTATTTATTTCAAAGTAAGACTTAATTTCGACTAGCATTTAGTTCACTTTTCTACTAAATAACCAAATAACGTACCACTTAATGGCTTAATGTCCCTTATCCGGTAGAGGGTACGGGGTAGACTCACTGTCGAACCTATAATGACACATTATATGCCATGCCAATTTCATCCAAATCCGTTCTAGCATTCTAGCGAAACAAACAAGTACCCAAACAGCATCACTGCTCTGCTTCTAGGTTGGTAGGTGATATTAATAGTGTGATTTAACCATTTATGTTCCTCACAATTACCAAAATAATTAGCCAAATCTGACCAGTGATGAGAGCAATACAACCAAAAAACTCCAGCTTTAAGTATAGATTTTACACATATGAAAATGAAGTATAGAAGGTTACACATATGAAAATACAAATATTAGGTAATCGGATTCAATATTCAGAGGCTCGGGAAAATGTAATACAAAGTTAAAGGTGTAATCTTCGAGCTACGCGGATTGGATAATGCATGAAACCCCCCAAACTTGAGACATTGAACATTGACTATTCTGCGTATATCAGTTTCAATGCTGAAGACCTTTTAGAATCAGGCAGACTGAGATTACAGTAAGTAAATAATTAAATACATAGAAGTACCATTCGACCTAATTCTGTGATGTGTATGTGTGCTAAAATATTTAAAAGAGTTTAAATATGTGCAAATGGCGACATTTTAAATTTAATACAGTTGATAGCACTTATAACTACATAGTCTCAGTTCTATGATCTCCAACGATTTATTGACCTTGACCTGTTATCTGTGATAAGTATTTGCTGTTTTTGCAATCGCAAGCACGTAAGAAGTTATTCTCCTTGTACAAACAATTTTTTAAGATTTATTTAAACTTATATAAATGATAAATGATATTTATTTCTGCAAGTAAATCTTTTCAGATATTTTACAAGTCGGACTTTACGGCTCGAATAGTATAGTTCTAACAGTTCAAACTAATCAATGCACAGACTCTAGCAAATTCTTATTAATATTTAATGTAAGTTAAATAACCGCAATGCTGAATAAATTACGACACTATTATAAATAAAGTCGGTTTGAAATGTTCATCGCAAGTTACTAAAGTTAGGATAAATATTGCAAACAACCTTTATTTGTTTATTCATTTTGTAAGACTGCAACGAAGGTAAGATGTTTCATTAAATACTCGGACTAATTACGCAGTAATAACCAGACTAATTAGGTGACACAAATTTCACGTTAGTCGTCTTTCCCAATCTTCATAAAACAATACTCAAAATGTAGAATATGGATGTTTAGGATATCAGTTTTATGAAAACCAGGTTAATAAAACGTTGACCTCTCTTCTTTGCGTGAGTTATGTTGAGGTTGTTGAAGAAACGTCTGCACCCTACGGAGTTGACGATGAAGTAAGTGAAAACATATTCACGTTTAAAAGACTATGTACCGCAAAACCAGAGTCTCTATATCTGATTTATGAGGTTATTCAATGATATGGCCTAGACCAGCGTGTCGATTGCCGAATACATGTGTAATGATGTTTCTAAAACTTTTTAATGAAACATTTACATTTTCAAATCCATACTTCTTTTACAAATATTAAAGTGAGTTTGTTTTTTTTTGTTTGTTTGTTATGCTTTTACGCCTAAATCACTAAACAGATTTTAAGTATTTTTTCACAAATGGAACGTTACATTATCAGCGAGTAACATAGTATACTTTTTACTACGAAAACCGACATAAATATAGTATTAAATAACAGATCTAATGGTCTAATGAAGATAGTTATTGCCAAAACGTACATTAATAGAAAACAGACAGACAGTTTGACAAAATATTATTAAAATGTAGTGTGAGATGTAAATAAAGATTTCCAACATAAATACTCGTATATAAATACGAGTAAGTACGTAATGTAGATACAATGAACTCAAAGGTTTATGCTAATTTAAATATTAATAGACTTATTAAGAAATAAGTCCTGTAATAACTGCAATATCAAATACAACTATTGACATAAACTTTGAACGAAGTACATAAGGTCATCACATGACCTATAAGTACCTCTTATAGATACCATAATACTTAGTGGCATTCACAAATAGTGTGTCCTCGATAACTGTCGCGACCAACAAAACTATGACCCTGGTTATATTACATACAAATAATACATTAACAATCGACCGATGGCCACCAAAACACATTGTATTGCGTTATTGCAATGATAAATACTAGTAGTATTATGAAACTACTAAAAAGGTATGAAATAATGATTGACGATGTGGTTATGTTAAAATAGCTAACCTTCTACAATTATCTAAGCCTATTAAACATATGCAAAGGGACTTGATTCTATAATTTTTATGTGGAAAAATCGCGAAACTTTAAAATCGTTAATGACGCAATAAAAAATACTTATGATCTTTATTGAATAGCAGTTTGACTTTAATTTACTTCTTAGTCAAAATCAAAACTAAGCAATTAGGATGCACGGACCTGTTGATCTAGTGGTTAAACAAGCAATGAAACCTACGACCTCCGGCTTAGTCAGGGTCACTACCCTGACTAAGCCGGAGGTCGTAGGTTCGATTCCCACCCAGGACAAATATTGTGTGGTGCACTCGGTTAATTTTTCTGTCTGGGTGTAATTTATCGATAGTATGTTTTTAAAATGTTTATCAGCAGTCTGGTTACCAAAGGCTCTGCCTAGTTTGGCATTAGACGACCGTGTGTGAGATATTATTATTATTGACACATGTATATAATAGTCTCGTGAGGTTTTCTATAAAAAATAAAGCTTAATATAACAAAATATTTTTAAGCTGTATTCGAAAGCAAATTATGGGATAATTAGAGAAAAATTATAAATATAGCTAAATAAAATTTTCCAGATTGCGTCAAATGTAAAATAAGTTTTAATACTAACCAAGGATCAACTTCTTTTTCAATAGTAACAATCCTCTCTTGGTCCTTGGACTACTATCGTGGACAGGAGTGTCGAAGCTCGATTCTTGAACGATATCAGCAACTGGCTGCGGTTCCTGTTGGGCCTGAGCAACCACCACGGCGAGAAGGCAAGCAAGAACTACGAGGGTTGAGGTCTGCATTGTTGGATTCTGTGGACATTTTATAAGAGTTAAAATTTTAGTCTTTCCTTATTAAAAGATGGCCATTAGGCAACAGGTTATATTTGACTGTGGACTCTAAAATTCAAAACTATCTTGAGAAGAGATATGTTAATGTATAAAAAATATGTAGCAGGTGTTTGATCTTTTAGACTTATGAAAATATTAGTTGGAAAATCATAAACTTAAAAGTAAAATCCTAACGTTAACAGAATTTATACCTCCCTTAAAAATAATACAGTGACCAAAAGCACAGGCTCAAACTATGGGAAACGACAAGTTAAGACAAAATGTAAGCAATTTATCAAGCAATGAAATCGACAGTAAAATAGATTTACAGCGCAAACGAAATAACACAATAAATGGTTTTTATACCTCGAAGACGCGTACATATAATTTGAGAAAGCTTGAAAGCTATTAAAAGTCGGTCTTTAATCGTAACAAGTGCCGTTACCGAAGGACACAACAACTGATAATTCAACAAGTTTTTATAAACATGGCTTTTACAAGACCGACCGATAAAAAAATAATTTGACGTATCCGATTGATCCCTTATTCAGCAATTTGTCATTCAACATTCCAAAAATAACATTAAACTATGATGATGCACCACTGTGTCTGTAAATATAATACCTGAAGCACGTAGCACTCATCATTAACGATACGATTTAAACCCAGTACATAATCCGTACCCTGAACAAAATATTTGTCATTTATATTTCCACTATTATTACACAATTACGAATTGACTACGAGTGCCCTCAAATACTTTCGTTCCTTTTCTTTTCCCTTAATGATATCACTTAACTAAATATAAACCAAAAGACCTTTAGCATGAATCTACTTTAGCTGCTAGTCCTGCAGTAAGTAGTGTGTTATTTATCGTTTGTTATGATCTCAACTTTGATGGCACTACTAAATATTAACAACTACGAAGGTTTTTAACACCGATTATTTAAAACTTTGATCTAACACTTCCAAATCGATCTGTATTGGCAATATTCCTTTTCTTTTCCTTCTAAATAACTTTCAAAATAAATACCAAAGAAAAAAATATTTTAAACGGACGCCGCGCAACGTGCCGCGTTGACGATAATTTAAATTATCTTCTTCTACCCGAGGTAGACCAACCAATCAACATTTTATTTTGCAAAATGTGACCTGTGTACCTACGCCTCTGTTAAAGGTAGACCCTTCGGGCATACATACATGAGTACAAGAGTACTGTGTATGTGTTAATTTTTTGTTCACTCACAATTCAATAAAAATACAAATAGCAATAAATTTCATCTTGCCTACAAACACGAAATGAAATTTGAATAGACCATCAGGGTCTTCACATTGCATTTTGTTGCAAATCTGGCTTGAAGCTACCACATAAACTTCTTTAAGATCAGGTATAAATATCATATCATTCAATGCTGCTAAATACATGTAAAGTAAGAACAGTGTTATTAAAAGGAATTTTATGTAAAGCTTATAATTGTAAACTCCATTAGCACTTGATCCAACCTTATCTTCGCAGGGGAATTAGGTATTTATATTCGTTTATCGACTTGCTCCTTAATCTAGGTTAATTAACTGTGCGAGCAAATAATTGAGATTCCGAAAGATACGTCTACGGAATTGCCTGACAAATCCCCGCTAACGTTGCTGATAAATACATATTCGTTTTATATATGTGTACATTATAATACTCACTCAGCATAACAGAAAATCTATACACGAATATTAATTCAATTTTAAATTGCTATAAAATGAAAAGAATTCCGGAAAACATTTTTCTCGAAAAGAAATGCTGCAATTTCGCTAAGAAGCGTTCCAACGGAAATTGAGACATTTCTATTTGGTTTTCGTTCAACATTTCCTAGCCATCTCCTTGCCGATCCGGTTGCGGCTGCCTCGGAGAAAATATTTGCTTCGCTACCTATCGAACTATCGACTGGTACAGTGGTGCACCCCATTACACAAAAAGTATACGAAAATTCGAGGAAAACGTTGTAAGAGTAATGTTTTATGCAAAGTCATACAGATTCCATTGAACTAATTTATATTTCAATATGGAATAAAACTACATATAAACGTATCGTCATTTTCACGTCCGACAAATTGATGCAAACTATTCATTTGTTAAAACATTATTTCGAGTGACACGTAGACTTTAGGTGTGCCAAATATCGAATATAAATGAGCTATTAAATATATCATTAAATTGGAATATACCAAATCATGTAGTAATAAATAGCAGAAATACAAAACGTAAATTCAACGAGATACCATTAAGTGGCTTTAAACTTCAAACCTATTTAAAAAGGATGAGATCAGCGCGGATATAACAAAAATGTTTAAAACAACTCAACCTGTACTTCACTACCCCTTGACGATTTTAAACATTACTATTTATTAGGTAAAGTAGATAATCTTCAAGACGTAAATGAAACGATCGATATCCTTGCCGATTTATTTCACTACCGCAGATGCACAGACTTGACTTAGCAAATACATATCAAGTACCTTGGTCACTTGTTAATAAGCACACAACACACTACTGCAGCGACTGACACACAGATGACAATAAGCTGGTAGCCAATTCTTTTATAGATTGCAATGGTTGATGTATGGGGGAAGGTATTCGGCCGCGTCGATACGCAGGGTTCAATGAAGTTGCATTACAATTACGAAGTGACCACCTTTATAATAATTAACAATGCCTGCACGTAGTCATCTACACCATTTCGGTGTCTTTCGTGCCTAACTGCATTTGGGATTAAAATAAATTTCTTATACTTATAAAATTAATGATAATGATGACATTTTTTTCACGTACTGCGTTCGTGAAGTTATCTCTGTGTGTGTCCACTTCATATCAGTGTTATTATAATATTTTAAATAATATCTACTATGCAATTTACTAGTTTTGAATGAGAGCAAATTTTGACTTTCATCAACAAAGGTTAATCCTTCAAATAGCGCACATTTACTTCCATATCATTAATTCATTCGTCACTTCCAGTTAACCTAAATACATCTGATAAATCTCGGTGACGCACAAAATTGTCCACGAAAAGTTTGTTTACAATACAACATTACAGTTTTAATCCACCTGTTAACATTATACTAGTCATCGCCGGCATACCAATGGTGGGCGAATTTGAATCATAATACACTAAATTTTAATCCTATTTGTAAAAAATAATAATAAATAAATAAAAAATATTTATTGTTTTAACATGAATGTAGGTAGCTATTACAACAATATTTAACTTATAACTTATCTTAAGCTAAACATAAGGGTAAGCATAATTCTTAAAACCAGAATAACAAATATATTGATAATTAATTTTTGTTCATAAGCAACATAGACCTAATGAGATAGAATAACATAATCTGAACAAGTGGTAGTATCCTATTTGTAAAATAATTTGAGCTATTTGTTGGAGTGCAGTACAATTTGAATTATCGTTGTATAGATTTTCTCTAACATGACTGGTTAACATACCAACGAATTAAGGAGACTTAATGAACATTCTTAAAACTTATAATAAAAAAGGACACGAATTAACGAAATCTTGAAATTCACAATTTCTAAAATTAATAAATAAATAAACATTAATTTCCAAAATTTCACCAAAACTAACTTCATTATAAATAACTCAAAAAAGCAAAATTCTTTATATTGATGTTTACCTCTTCAGTTATCATTTTTTAAAATATAAAAGGATAAATACTTTTTATTTTATTTCTAACATTGTTTAAATACACCTAAAAATTAACTTACTATTAAATATTAATAAATTAAAAAAAAATGACTTCATAATACTATAGAACCCACTAGTGCAAATGATAAGCCGGAATCACTCATTTACTACACGCGATATGGCAGTAAAAACAAAATACCTTAAAACCTGTTCTTATAAAATACGAATATATCACATATCTCGTTAACATACTAAACAAATTGCCTTTCAATCAGGTTTCTCTTTTGTAGAATGGTTTAATTTGCCTTTAAAGAGTCATCATCATCAACAGCCTATAATAGTCCACTACTGGACATAGGCCTCTCCTTAGAAAGGAGGTTTTGGCCTACTATACCACGCTGGCCAGACGGGTTGGTATAGGGTTTGTGTCAAGTTTTCCTTCTTTTTGCAGTGCTGTTGTCCTGTGCAGTTTGTTCCCTTAGTCGGTTCTTACGACACCCACGGGATGAATAGGGGTGGTGACATTCCGTATTCTTAATCCGTCACCACACGGATAGAGACTTTAAAGAGTACCGAGTTTCTAAAATATTTATTTTTCCGATTAAGAAAAGAGAATTCCGTAAAGAAATAATGAGAAAAGCGGAGCCCTAAACCTTTATTATAATTACATCTGACTTGGACCGCGTTAAATATTTACCTGACAAAATCTCCTTCACTAATTTCATGTTTTGTTAAGTACTTTTGTAACTTTCTTTGGGTTATTAAATAAAAATTAATAAACAATTTTTTTCATAAACCGATTACAATGTTTGTGTATTTACTTCATTACTAAAATTCTAAATTATTCCGCTTGGTGTTAATTATTGTACGTAAAGTTATAGATTTCAAGAATTTACAAATTATTCGGGAAATATTTTAAGGAACTCCTTAAAATATTTCCCGAATAATTTGTAAAAATTGTGTGGTAAGATGGTATCAATTGGAATGATTTTTATAAATATTTTTACATTTAAAAAGTATGCACATTTCTTTTAGTGAATGATGGAGACGGGTTAAATAAATCAATGAAAAATTTTACAAGTTTTAGCTTGTAATTCTAAATACAATTACGCTAATGCGAGACTACATAATTATTATTTTTTTTATTTTATAAAGAAAAGTAGAACAAACAAACAAGAGTTAATTTTGTAATAAATCGTTAAACTCAATTTTGAAATTTTAGTACAGTTTCTTTATTATTATTATACAATAAAAATACGCCGCCTTTCCTTTCGGTGATAAAAGACGTAAAGAAAAAGTCAGGAGAAGTTCGCTACCCATTTACTTTTCGTCAACTACTGTTATCTCACTAATTACTAACTCATAACGTTTCCTAACTCCGATAATAAGAATTTACAGGGAAAAAAATGAGAAAACTAAATAATGGTCTTTATGATCCTCAGACCTAGATAAATAAATATGCATTTTAGTATTTATTTTAAGTAAAATGTTTAAAATACTTCTACAATATATTTAATATTTTTCAGAAAATGAGTTCATCGATGAATTAAAATAAATTTCAATTTTGTTCATGTTGGAACTACTACTTGCATGTCGCTATTGTAATGATACCTAAAACTAAGACGCAAATTGGTTGATTCTGTCAAAAAGCAAGCTGCCTGACTTATAATAAAGTACTATTATCCTCCATGAGTAAGAGAGATGGAATGGGATGCAAGGAATGACTACGCATAAATGACAGTAATCATAGGCACTGGTTACCGCTTACCATTAGATGGTCCTTGTGCTTATTTGACAATTTAGCCATTACAATTATATCACTACTAGCGACACTTATCCCATCATATTCCTGTCCATTCTTCCATAATGGGTCCGGAAGACGGCTATAGGAACTTCTTAATGAAACTTGATAAACCCATCAAGTTGGGCTCATTTGTTTTGTCTTAGTGAGTATTTTGGTGCTACATAAAAACTTTTTTCTTAAAATACTTTTTCAAACAAATATTAGAGTAAGTATTTTGCCGGCCGCCTGTCTGTCGCCTATCCTCGTTGAGAATGTAACCGTTATCATATGTGACAAACGAAGAAAGTAAATTGGAGTTAGAAATACGGATAGGAAGAGGGACCTGTGAAAAGGCTACAATAAAGCTGGAGACACAGAAGTGATACCAAAGTAGCTCGAAGAAGCTGGAATATGATAATGGCCGTTTTGTGATAGGAAGGGCCATCAGTACAAGGACAACAAAAGCTTTCATCATCTACCTACCCTTATCCCAATGTTATTTGGGGTCGGCGCCGATGTAGTCTTCCATTCCACTAAACCATTCGTCATTTCACTGTTTACTTGTACCTTTCTAGATATTTCCTCTCTCACACAGTCCATGCACCTTTTCTTTGGTCTTTCTTTTCTCTGGTACCCATCAACTCCCGTAACTAACACTTTCCTCGCCACATTATCCTCATCCCTCCGTGTGACATGTCCATACCAAGATAACCAATACTTCATAACTTATCATCCAGTGGCTTTACAACTACGAAATTGTACAATAAAAATTTAAACAAAGTTTTCTTGAAGTTTATTTTTAGTTATTATAATTCTCTTATTATGAACAAGTGTTGTCATTTCTAAACATTATTAGACTGATTATAGTAGATGTTAGTAGAATGTCTGTAGTCGGCTTATTGGACCAACACCATTCCATTATAATAATATAACCGCGGGAGAGCCATGCTTATACACAAATTGGCCAGGCTAAACCAGATTGATGGGTATCAATCCGGTGTCACAGGAAACAGATTTTTAGGAATTTTTCTCGTTGCTTTAACCGATTACGTGAGGTTACTGGAGACCAAACCCCTCTTCCCCCTGGCACTGGGGGTCCGCCCTCATACAGGCATCCCAAGACGGCGATAGTCACTTACCATCAGGTGACCTGTCTACTCGTTTGCCCCCTGTGCCATGAAAAACTATTCATTTTATTACTTCAATTTATTTGTTTTAACATGTTTTTGTCAGCGCCTTATTCATTCATATTATGGAACACTGAAACTTATAACGTAGAACGCTTTCTTTTCTAGGTACTTTTACACTTTTTAAGTTCAATATCATAGTTTTTTGTATTCTCTTTAAGTTATAAACGAAGACAACTAGTCGTAAACACCAAAGTTACGACCTTCCCGCTGTTTATCCAAGCCTTATAATACTCACTTGAGACATCATTTCGCAATCTAATGAGGAGCCGCGCCCGTATTGACCACAGAGGCCGTATTCAACATTTGAATGAAAATTTTCATAACAGTATTGATTCATGCAGCTGACTGACTAATGATTTTCTACTTAAGAAAAAACCATTTGATACATGAACCCCATAGATTTGTAATTCTTGAAAAGAATTATACACTTCTTTTGTCAAATTACTGTACTAACTTGTGGACGCTAGCCATTTGAGTTTTTAGTTGCAACGAACTAGTAAAAAAAGATGACAATACATAATTTTTAGCTTAACAGACGTTTGTCTTTAGACTTCTTTTTCACGAAAGGATAAGAAGAACTCTTATAGGAGGAAGATATAGTATCATACCGATGTCTGTCGGGCTACCTTTCTTAAGAACGCCTAGAGGTATCAAGTCGTAATCAACAACTACAGTGATGTCTCCAGTCTCTTGAAGCTGTAAAACAACTAACATTCAGAATTCAAATCAATTAAAATATACAAACATTTAAGCCTGAGATTTTAAGCAATATGAAGATTTAGCACGTCAAACAAAACTTACTTCTCAATAACCTAGAATCATGAATTCATGCAATATTCCTTTTAGGACCTAGGTACACACAGCACTTGTAAAGGAGACAATTCGAAATGTTAATGTTAAATATATTTTTAATATCAAACTTACATTATATGGTTAAAAAAATTGAATGATACGTATATCGATATATGGGGGAGTATTTATGCAACGCAAAGTTAAGGAAGTCTTTTGGAAAACACAGTCAAATTTTTTTGAGATTCGTGACATGGACTAACTATCTACATATTATTATATGCAGTAATAATTTCATATCTCACAAATGGCAGTCTGATCCCAAATTGGATCGGGCCTGATTATAGCAACCAGAATGCTACTTAACATACTTACATAAACATTTATAATATTTATATATATAAATACATACATACTACATGCAATTACACCCACACAGAACAAATAATCCTGCTCATTATACAATTATTTGTCCTGGATGCAATCGAACCCACGACCTCTGGCTTAGCAGTTAGTTACTACTAGAGTTTGTTTGTGTGTAAATATTTTTTTCACAATATCGAGTTCTCGTGTCTGTAAAATAATTCTACGGTGCTAGTGTTGTCTTTAAATAAAATGGTTTTACAAATCACGTCTACTGATAAGACAAAAAAAAAAAGGGTATTGACAGTCCATCTAGAAGAAAAGGGTGTTCAAGACAATTTGATAACGTACCAATTTGTACCGAATTATTGATTACCACACAAGTGCGAGTCTGCTGAATGTCTCATAACGATGATCACGCACATTGAGACATATACATGTACACGGTGGTCAAGGTCCATTTACAAAGTCGCACTTCAGATAATACGTCAATCGTGAGTGTCATGAACACACAGCACATTTAGTTATGTACCAATAAAAAGTCGTACCCTCGAATGTATTTACACAACTTGTTAACAATAGAATTGGTAATTAGAGAAGTAAATTAAGTCCATATAAAAGTATAGGTATTTGATATAAAACCAGAGACATGACCATGTAATTTAGGAATGTCTAAAGCGCCGTACACATCGATATGTAATAAAGGCGACATCTTCTTCTTCTTCTTAGCCAAAAGACGTCCACTGCTGATCATAGGCCTCCTCCAAGTTTTGCCACCACAACCGGTCTTTCGCTGCCCGCATTCAACGGTCCTTCACGCGCAAGAACCTTTTGGCTTCATCAGCCATCATTTCTACGAGCAATGTGCCCCGCCCAATGCAGTTTACTTCAGTTCGGCAATTCAGTGACCTTGGCAATGTCAGTAACCTTGTTTCGTCCCTTTAAAAGCGACTTGCTCTCACTCGACTACCAGGCTATCAGAAAATTAGAAAGCACACACTATCTTCCTACAAACAAATGTAATCAACAAGTGCGTGATTCACTTATGCTTATTTATACGAATATAAAAGGTATGATTGTATACCTGAACTAAATGGTAGGCGTAATCAATGTTTGGTTTGAAAAATGTATAAAATTACACAATAGTTTCAGACCATTGGTTATCATGTTCGGTAACGCTCGGTCGGTTCCTACTCAGTAATTTCGCACCGCGTTGCGCCTGCTCATGTAATTTACAATTACGTCAAATTGCGTGGTCGAAATGATATAAGGCTGTTACATTAAATGCTTTGCCGAATACACCACGTGCACCATAGGATCTGACTGCTAAGTTTTTAAGTACATGTCCACCTTACAAATCAAGTCATTGGAGGTATAATAAATAAGCTAAGTAATTTTCACCCATTAATCTTTGGAGAAGAATGTCTGTTGCACATGATTGACATTAAGCATTCTCAATGACTCTTTAAACGTTGTCTTATGTAACTAATTTATACATGTGTATGTACATACTTACCGTGTCAATTTATGTGCGAAAAGAACCTACAATTTTTGTATCTACATTTATTTTCATATATCCTTTTCAATCTGAAGACAAAAAAAATTTTAAACAACAGCAGTAACAATAAATTCTATGAATACTAATTACCAGCATAAAAATAGCACTAGATTTTATTGCAGGTATAAATACCTGCAATAAAATCTAGTTTATCACGTTCTTCTTTCACGTCGTTCTTTCTCAGGCAGAGTTTTTTTAGTCAATACTAACTGATAGATTGCGAAATATGCTAAGCAAACATTTTTTGTAATCACAGGTGTCGTACATAATCGAATTGCAAACGTTTAGTAATATTATCATGTCGAACATTTGTCTTTTGTCAGCCTAATAAAAACTAAACACGTGCAGATGTAATTGATTGCTAAGGAGACGCCATGCATTTCTTTTAAAGTAGATCACTAGCACGCATCTATTTATTTATTAGTTACATCTATACTAATATTATAAAGCTGAAGAGTTTGTTTGTTTGTTTGAACGCGCTAATCTCAGGAACTACTGGTCCGATTTGAAAAATTCTTTCAGTGTTAGATAGCCCATTTATCGAGGAAGACTATAGGCTCTATATCATCACGCTAAGACCAAAAGGAGCGGAGCACCAATGAATAATGTTTCAAAAACGGAGAAAATTTATTTTATTACTATTGAGAGACGCAGACGAAGTTGCGCGGGTCAGCTAGTTATTAATATTTTTTAACACCTACTGCACTATTTGGAAGCAATACTAGATTGTGCCTGCGGCATTGTTGGTGATAATGTAGATGTTTCGAACAATTTATTTAAATGAATGACAGGCACCAAGATCGGCAAAAGGCCGTTTACACGCATGGCGAGCCACGACAAGTGCCGAGGCTTGGCAAACGTCCACAAGCTCCAAGTCTTTGGATGCCATTTACATGCTTGCGAGTGTGCTATTGTGTTCCGGACAGGCAAACATAGCAGACGTGGAAATTTTATTCAAAACATAAACGACGGCACTAAATTAAAAAAATATTATCTATCCCTACTGCTCAATCAGTAGAACATTGAGACTTAATGTTGATTCCCGACTGCTCAACTACAATACTTATATTATCATATTGATCAGTAGGGAACAAGCACGCACCAACGTGTAAATACGTCGCAAA